AGATCCAATATATACATATTTCCTTTGCAAAAGAAATATACCTTTCCTGGAACGAATGACCTCAATACCCATAAAGTACCTAAGTACTCCCAAATCTTTAGTGTGAAACTTGTCCTTGAGAAAGGACTTTAGAGCACTAATAACACCTCTTATCTCGTATCGCTTCTTGTGATCACTATATCATCAACATATACGATCCAAAAATACACCCTTGGTTAGTGTGCTTAACAAATAAAGTATGATCACATCATATGCACTCCTATGCATACCAAATTCGACGATCACAGTGTTGAACCTTCCAAACCAGGCTCGTGGAGATTGTTTCAAACCATACAGGGACTTCTTCAATTTACATACATCCCCCCCCCCCCCCCCCCCCCCCAAAGCAACAAACATGGGTGGTTGCTCCATATATACTTCATTCAAACTACGATGCAAAAACACATTCTTGAAATCTAACTAATATAGAGGCCAATGATTAGTACCAACTAAAGATATAAATATACGAACCGAAGTTAACTTATCAACGGGAGAAAAGTCTCTGTATAGTCAACCCCATATGTTTGTGCTACCCTTTGACGACCAAGTGCCTTTTAGCCTCACAACTGATCCATCCGGATTTGTTTTCACTACGTAAACCCACTTACACCCTATTGTAGTCTTACCAAGTAGAAGAGGGAAGAGATCTCAAGTGTGATTTTCTTCCAGGGCAACCATTTCCTCTTCCATAGCACTCCTCCAACCGTCATGGGACAAAGCTTAATACATGATTTTAGTAATAGAAGTAGAATCAAACCGAGACACGAAGGCACGAGAAGATAATGATAAATGGTTATAAGATACAAAAGAAGAAATAGGATGAAAACACTTACGTTTACCTTTCCGAAGGGCAATAAGAAGATCTAGATCACTTGATGAGTCATGCGGTAAAGAGGGTCTCCTATCAGTTGACGAAGATTGTGGTAAGGAAGTGTCCACTTGTGGCGTATCAACCTCTCTCTGTTGTCTCGAGTAAACCTATGTAATTTGTGGCCTAGAGTAGACTTAACCAAAGATGAGGGAATAGTAACAGTGTATGTGAGAGAATCACCATCTAAGATCGAGGCAGAGCTATCTGCAGAAGAATTAGAAACAGTCCCAGAAAATAAAGTATCTTCAAACAAATTATCTTGAAACAAAGTAACATCAACAAAAACCAAATATCGAACTAAGTCAGGTGAGTAACACTAGTACCCTTTTTGAGTTATAGAATATCCTAATTAAAAACATACACCTGAGAGACCTTGGATCAAGTTTGCTCCGTTGGGGGGAAATATTTTGAACGAAACAAGTACAACCAAACACCTTTGGAGGAAGGGAAAACAAAGAATGAGATGGATATATAACGGAATACGGAATTTGACCTTGGAGAAATTTTGAAGGCAATCGGTTAATTAGAAAGCAAGTTGTATGAATGACATCTGCCCAAAAAAGTTGTGGTACCTTCTTTTGATACAATATGGCACGGGCAATTTCCAATAAGTGGAATTTTTTGCGCTCTGGCACACAATTTTGTTAAGCAATGTAAACACAAGAGGACTGGTGAATAATCTCATTCTGGTTCATGTAAGCCGAAAAGGTTGAGAAAAATATTCATGTGCATTATCACTACACAAGATTTGGATAACTTTATTGCATTGAGTTTTAATAAAAGCATAGAAATTACAAAAACTATTAAACAGTTCAACTCTAGACTTCATGAGAAACAACCAAGTATGTCTAGAAAAATCATCCACAAAGGTAACAAAATATCAAAAATAAGTTTTAGACATCACACAACACGGACCCCAAACAACATAAATTGAAATAAATACTCTGCCATGTTATTGACTCGAGGAGGATATGGCATGTTATGATGTTTCGCAAGCTCACAAGATTCAAACTCTAAGACTTAATAATGACTCTAAATTTGGACACAGTTTCTTCAATGTTGACAAAGACGGGTGACCATACCGACAATGTAGTTGAAACGGAGATATACTTCCCAATAGCCCAACCGTGGCAACTTCAAAGTTAGGGGAAAATTGTTCCAACACATACAACCCACCAGTCTCTCTTCCTTTACCAATAGTCTTCTTCGTCAAAAGATCCTGAAATAAACAATACTTGGGATATAATGAAACACAACAGTTTAAGGTTTGAGTAATTTGGCTTATAGAGAGTAGATTGAAAGGAAATTTTGGTAGGTACAATACATAGGAAAGAGGTAATGATTGAGTTGCACAAGCACTACCTTTACCCAAGACAAGAGTAGTAAAACCATCTACTAGGGTAACTATAGTACCATGATTAAATGGAAAAAAATGTGGAAAAGAGACTCGGATTACCTGTCATATGGTCACTAGTTCTTGAGTCAATAACCCACTATCAAGATGATTAAGAAACACATGCAGTAGGGTTACATGTTTAGACAAACGTGGCTGACGCATATGGCAAAGTTTCCTGACTGAATGGAGGCTGCGAGGAAGAAGACATCTTGATTTGGTTGAACATAGCTAATTCTTCATCTGCCATAACCACCATATTCCCTTATGATTTGACAATAGTACTAGCAAAACTTTTTTGCCTGAACAGTTTGTACATTGATTGTACAAATAACCCTGATCCCCACAATTATAACACACCCTTGGTCCTTCTCGAATGCCTCCACGTCCCCTCCCAAAACCACCATGTCCTCTATGGTGACCTCTCCACCTTGACTTTCACTAGCATTGTACCCTTGTGAAGAAAATGCTATTTCGTCAACATTGTTGCCCTGTGAAACAAAATCATTTCTCAGAAACTGTGTCAACACTAATGTTCCCTAACGCATTTTGAACCATAGAAAATACTTGATCTGTGTTTTCCAAGTCTTTATTTGCAAGTAATCGAGACCTAAGAACATCACATTGTTTTTTCACCTTTTGCACATCTGTTGTAATAGGCATTGCAACACATAAAGCTTCACTCACATTCTTAAAAGCATAATAGTAGTCCCTTATATCTCGTCCTTTTTGAAAAGGGAGATAAACATCTTGGGATAATTGATACAATTGCCTTAAATTATTTAACCCACTAAACTATGCATCTACCAAATCCCACACATCTTTTACAGTCTTGCAATGCTTCATAGACAATATGATTTTTCTATCAATGCAATTAACTATTTGGGATAACAATGCTTTATCATCAGACTTCTACTCTTTAGCTGCATTAGGTTTTGTAGGGCATGATTCAATCAAATGTCTATCTTTGCCCATGCCACCCAGATTCAACTCAATCAAAAACTTCCATTATCTGAAATTAGATCCATCATGTGCAAGCACAAAATCAATTAATTTTGATGGTGTTGACACAACAGTGATGGTTCTTCCCTCATCCATATTCAACAGAAAACCAAAAAAATAAAATGCAGCAGAAGGCAACTGACTACTCACTATCCCACGGAGACTTCAAAAGATCATAACAAAATAATACCTCAACATTAACCAAACCATACATGCGATGATACTACTACAATCTAGGTTTGGAGAAGTCTCGGAAAAAATGCTCACGCGTCGGCGCGTGATTGTCATAGCTGCTCGGAGACGGAGGCGCGATTCTTCATTGGGAGTCGACCCACATTTCCGACCTTAGCCTATTACCTCACACTCCAAGCCTGGCTTTGATACCATGTAGAACGTGTACATAGACTACTAACTGTATATGTATTGAACTCTCTCATTAAGGAACTATACAAGATAGGTATATACACATGCTAGTAGAAGGGTCATCCATGCTCTCAACCACTCATTTCAAATTCAAAATGAGTAGTTGAGAGTTATTCTCTCAACTTCCCTCAATTTCTTCTAACAAGGATGCATGATGAGTTGGGGAGTCTTGTGTAGTCTCGTCATCTTGTTCAAAGTATATGTACTAAAAGTGTACAATATAATATTTAAAGATAGAGTATGTATAAGAAACATTAAAAGTTCATAATAAGTGCAAAGTATAAGCAATGTGTATTATATGATATTTTTTTTTTTGGAAATATGTATTATATGATATTTAAAAGTATCTAACGGAAATTTCAATCCATTGCTTAATAATTTAGTTTTTTACTTGGGAGTAACGACTAACGAGACATCCTCACAGGTTTGGTTGTCTCATTGCACACTCTAGTTTCAATTGGGAATGATCGACTCCCTTAAGAATACTGTTTAGCTTGGCAGTCTCATTGTCAAGTCTTGTGATAAGATCAAAAGTAGTATTTTATCTCTAATGATGAGGTTGTATGGCCGGTTGGAGAAACCCGTTGTATAGTCCTATCATCTAGAAGTATGAGTGGTGCATGTTTATGGAGAGAAAAATAAAGCAATTGATTTTATAAAGAGTGTTTATCACCTAAGTGCTTATGAGTTGTTTGTGGGTGATTGAGAACTTACTTTCCCTCTTCACAAGATTTTGAGTGAAGATTATAAGACATGTGTCTCTTGATGATATTGTGTTTCTAAAATGGCTGACTAATTAATTAATTTCTTGCGAGATCTCGCTCTTTAAATCCAAAATAAATAAACAACCTTTTTTTTTAAAGCCAAAAGGCATTGGCATATATTAATGAATGAGAGAAGCCAAACAGTCAGGAGGGATATAGTCCCAGTACATAGAGTGATCCTAATCAAAAGCTACCGTAGCTAAAGTATGAACATGTAAATTAACTAATCTAGAAATAACATTCAAAGAGCAATATGAAAAAACGGCTATAGCTGCCCGGCATTGGTCCTCCACCACTCCTACATAAGATAGGATGGTCGTAGGACTAGAAAGTAAGTGGTGTCGGAGTTCTGGGCAATCAGTCAAGAGATCCACGTCCAATTCATTACGCTCCCTGAGCCAAGATAAAGCTTCCTTGCATGCAAGAGCCTCTGTCATAAGGGGTGAGAAACAACCCGGAAGCTTGCCATTTGTTGCCGCTTTGAACGACCCATCCGGATGTAAAAGTATTACACAGTATGTTGCGTCGCCCGAGTGCGGGCGGTATCCCCCATCGAAATAGCAACGTGGCCGGCCTTGTGGCACTTGTGCCACCGTCGGTATACTGCGGTTCTGGCCTCGGTAGTGCGCCTGGCGTACGCTGCCATTGCGGCAGTGGACCGCCTCCACATGCCGGCGGGTCGTGCCAGAGCCCCTCTCCATACGGCGTCGTTTCGGGCGCTCCACAAGTGATAAAGGACTGTAACCACCATGCCAAATTGCTCCTCTGTTAAATTTGTCATAGCACCCATTAGCCATATTGGGAAAGAAAGAGCAACAATATTTGTAACAGGCAAATCCGAAATATTCCACTCTAATTTAGAATAGTCACAAGAAACAAGTGTGTGCATAACATCTTCATGAGATAAACCACACATAGGGCATGTTGGATCTACTTCCACTCTCTTTATAATCAGGTTATTCGTAGTATGGAGAATATCACATAAAGCTCTCCACAAAAAAATTTTCCATTTCGAAGGAACCTTCAATTTCCATAATGTAATCCATTTATCAAAGGCACCAGGATTATGCTCATAATCTCCAACAATCTGTCTATATGCACTCTTAACATAATACATTCCCATTTGATCCTTATACCAATACCATGAGTCCTCATAATCCGGGCTAACAGGGATCCTAGATATACGAGCCACGTCCTCTGGTTCAAATAAATCACTTAAAATATGGGGATCCCATGAGTTTGTTTGCGGGTCAATCAAACCCACTACTTTAGCTTCACGCAGTTCCTCAGGCATTATTGTCTGCACTAAAAGGCTAGGATCATCAGGTAACTAGGGGTGACCCCAGATCAAAGTTGTTTTCCCATTTCCAATCCTTCTTCGAACCCCAGAGCAAACCATATCATGTGCAGCCATTATACTCCGCCAACAGTAACTTGGGCAATTTCCCATTCTAGCATCAATAAAAGAGGTTGCCGGGTAATAACGAGCCTTATATATTGATATGTTTCGTGTCAAATCTTCATCTTGTTCCACTCCGTTCTGTGCTAAAAACTCAGCCAGGAGGCTTCGCGTTATGGATGGTTCTTCACGAAGTGTTTTGGGTGAAAGGGACGTGGCTCTTGGAAGGCTAAAAACTTAATGTATTTAGGATTTTCTTTTGGATAGAAGCTTCTCATCACACGAAGGAAAATAGAAGCTTACATACACACAATCACAGCATGCACTTCACAGCTTCTAGAGGTAACTCTATGTAACACAAGAGTTGGAAGTAAGCAAAAGCTAACTCAATTGTCTCATTCATAATCTGTCCCTCAAAGTAGACATAGAGGGGTTTAAATACACTTATTCAAGCAAGGAAAACCACACAATTCAGCCCCACAAGGAGAGAAATTCTTCCTACTGGTTGTATGATCCTATATTTGTGTTTGACTTAGTGTTCTTGTAACTACAAGAAAACTATGTCTTCTCAAACTTGTCCTGGCCTATTTATTTGTGCTGGAAGTCTAAAATTCAGAAAATAACGTATGCTAAAATAATTACATATGAACTTAGCCTAACATAAGTTATAAATAATGAGATGATGTCTCATTTATACGGTCCTTGGTGTTGCTATCATTAGTCTTCTTTAAGTGTAATAATATGGTAGTATTGGCCTTCTCCTTTGCTGGTCATACTTTCTCCTCCATTCTCCTTTGTAGAGGAATAAATTTTGTTCCATTCAATCTTCTCTGTCCACGCACAAATGGCCGAGCTCGTGTCATAGGACCATCCTGCACTTGTAATGGATCTTGCGTCCTATTTTCGTGTTGAGCTAATGAACTTGAGTCTCCTTGTGTGATGTCCTCATCAGTTCCCCCCGCCATAGAAGGATTCGACCACGAATCTTGGTTTGCACTTATATCAAAAGGAGTCAGGTGAGCAACATTGAAAGTTGTACTAACATTGCCGTACTAGAATAGATGGTTCAAGTACAAGGAAAATTAGTATCACTAGCTTTATTTGATGAGGAGATTCAATTCAGACGTTGGGAAATTTATTCATTTCCATTTGACCGAGGAAAGTGTGATTCGAGGACGAATCATTTCAAAAGAGTGAGGGAATGTTATGGAAGAAATAAAACTTAGCCCATTTTAAGCCCAAACGACATATTCAAAAGAGTGAGGGCCGTGTCTTCATTTTTTTAATGAGTGAATTCCATTTTTGGTCCTACTGTTATTGGGGCGTTTCCAATTTCAGTCCACTTTAAATTTTTTTGCCACTTTACAACCACTGTTATTAAATGTGTTCCACTTTTAGTCCACCGTTAATATTTCCGTAAAGAGGCCGTATAATCAAAGGGTATTTTGGTCTTTTTATGTTTGTCTCTTCTCTTTTAATCCAGGCGCTTCGTCCTCCTCCTCCGATATTCAAAGATGGCTCTTCGAACAACGAGAATGGGAAGTCAAAGCTACATCGTTTCGTTCGTTCCAACATGGGCCGGCAAGGTTTCTTAGGTTTTAGGTTTAATGTTCTCATTTCTTTAGTCAAACATAGTCTTGGATGAGAAGAAAGGTCAAAATACCCCTAGATTACACGGCCTCTTGATGGAAATACTAACGGTGGGACTAAAAGTGGAACACATTCAATAATAGTGGTTATAAAATGGCAAAAAAAATTAAGGTGGACTAAGATTGGAAACGCCCCTATAACAGTAGGACCAAAAATGGAATTCACTCTTTTTTTAATTTTCTTTAGACCCTAGGCTTTAGCCCATTTATTATGATAGTTAGCAGCCTAGGATGCTAATTAGATTAAATTTCCTTAGTCAGCTACCATCCATATTTAATTAAATGCTAATATGTAGGGATCATGATGCTAATATGTAGGGATCATATATCCTAGCTGCAAGAGAGGTTGGATTAGTAAGTAATCTCCATGCCTGTTTTCCCAACATAGTCAGGTTAAAGGAACGTAGATCTTTAAATCCCAAACCCCTATACTTCTTAGGGACACACAACTTGTCCCAGGCCTTCCAATGGATTCCTCTCTCCACCCCTTTCCCCCGCCAGTATTTGTTCATTGTCCTCTCAATAGACAAACAAACTGATTCAGGTAGCAAAAAAATACTCATTGAAAAGGTAGGCATAGATTGGGCCACGCTTTTCAAAAGTACCTCCTTCCCAGCCTGAGACAACAGTTTTTTGTTCCACGACCCAATTCTCTGTCTGATTTTATCCTCCACATAGGAAAAAACTGCCCTTTTATTTCTCCCAATGAAATATGGCAGGCCAAGATATTTTCCAAAATTGGGGGTTTGGTCCACCCCTAAACAATTCGCCACCATTTCTCTATCCTCCCACGTGGTATTCATGCTGAAACAAATATTAGATTTGTGATAATTAACCATTTGACCAGACAGATTCTCATACCTCATTAAGCACTGTTTAATCACACTGGCCTCCTGGAAATTTGCTTTAAAAATAATAGACTATCATCCACAAAGAAAAGGTGTGATACTGGAGGGGGGAGGGGGGAGAGGGGGGGGGGGGGGCTCTAGCTACTCTACATCCATGTATTGACCCTGCTAATTGAGCTCTCTGTAACAGCAAAGATAATCCCTTTGCACAAATAATGAATAAATAGGGAGAGAGGGGGTCACCCTGTCTGAGACCCCGAGTTGGAATTATTTGTCCTCTAGGTGCACCATTTACCACAATATTATATGTCACTGTTGTCACACATAACATAATCAGATCAATCCACCCCTTATCAAATCCCATTACCTCCAACATTTTTCTCAAGAACGGCCATTCCATTCTATCATACGCCTTTGCCATATCCAATTTTAAAGCTCCCCGCCTAACTTTACCGCATTGCTTTCTATTTAAAAAGTGACCAACCTCCGAAGCCACCAGAATATTATCTGTAATTAATCTTCCCAGAATAAAAGCACTCTGGGATTCCGAGATTAGATCTCCCATAAATGGTTTCATCCGGTTGGCTATCATCTTAGCCATAATTCTATAGAGCACATTACTCAAAGCAATTGGTCGCATATCCCCTACTGTCTCAGGCACATTTTTCTTAGGGATCAGAACCACATTTGTATCATTTAAACCATGTGGGAAAACACGCGAGTTGAGGGAGTTTACAATAAACATAGACACATCATTCCCAACTACATCTCAAAAATGTTGGTAGAATCCCGGATTCATACCATCCGGCCCCGGAGCTTTATCAGAAAACATAGAAAAAACAGTCGTTTTAACTTCATCACTATCAAAAGGGCGCAACATGGTAGTATTATGGGCCGGGGTAACCCGTGGAGTAAAATCATCAAACAAAGGATCACTGCAAACAGAATTACTGGGGGCAAAAATTCTTTCAAAATAATCCAAAATAGTCGAGTTCATATTCTCCCCCTCCACCCACTCCCCATCATCATTCTTTAACTTGGCAATAAAATTCTTTTACTTGCGGGCAGAGGCATACCTGTGATAATTTTGTATTGGCATCAGCTCCACGTAGCCAGTGTTGCTTTGCTCACTGCCTCCAGAAAATATCCTCCTGGGCTTCCAGCTGGGACAACTGGATTTTGAGATTTCGAAACTCAGTTATCGCATCCGGATCGCGCCTATGCCTAATAGCATCTTGTTTCATACGCAGCTGCTTAATACGGTCCCCAAATTTCTGAAAATGGTCGCCACCCCACCGCATCAGACTGTGTCCACAATATTGATGACAATTCAGTAAACCCTCAGTCCGTCGATCCTGCCAAGCAGTCTCAACTACCTCCCTACACCCCTCATCCAGCAACCAGGCCATCTCAAACTTGAAACCTCTCGGACCCCTTCCCCTTTGCATGCATGGAGCATTGATACTGAGGAATAGAGCCGAGTGGTCCGATGTACGAGTCAGAATGTTCTGTACATCCGCATGGTGATTGACATCCCCCCACGATGCCGTTGTCAAAACCTTATCCAACCTTTCTTCAATCCAATTGCTAGTGCCTTTACTCTTCTCCCAGGTAAACTGATGACCTCTCATAGCCATCTGTCCAATCCACACCCATCCACCGCCTCCCCGAAACCGCGAAGGAGATTATCTGGGTGCGGGTCCCCCCTCTCCCCCCCCCCCCCCCCCCCCCCCCCCTTTTCTCGTGCTGAAATATGAGATCATTGAAATCCCTTATTACAACCCAAGGTAGTGGGGATCTCTTGCCTAGCGTTCCCAGTAGCTCCCACGATTCCCTTCTTTTATTTCTCTTAGGAAAACCATAAAAACATGTCATACGCCATACCTTATCATTGCCCAGCCGAACTTCCACATCCACATGATTTTTAGAGTAGCTCAGGAGTGTAGCAGTATTGTTTTTCCTCCAAAGCAACGCTAAACCACCACCATGCCCCTCGTTGTCCACATAAAATAATCCTTCGAAACCTAGCTTGATACGGAGGCGTTCTGCATGCTCCCGTCCAACCATAGTTTCCATTAAATACACAAAATCTGGCTTCTTACAGGACACCATGTCCACAACTTTTCAAATTGTCCATAGATTGCCCAAGCCACGGCAGTTCTAACTTAGGGTACTCATTGGGTCGGGCGGGCTTGGGAACCAGTGCCTGCCTGCTGCAAGTTTTTGAAAATTCTGCCATCACAACATCACCCCCATCCAACCCGTGCCTCGCACCCCCGCTCCTCGAGACCTCACGCCTGCGCTTGGACACGGCTACCACAGTATTCTCCTCATCGGTACCATCCCTACACGCCAATTCCCTCTCCGCCCCTTGCTGCCCCATTCCAGCTCTCCCCTTCCCCGGAATAGTACCCCGTACCGCTGTTGGCGGCGGTAGCAGCCAGCTGCCGCCGACCGGCCTCGGTCCCTGATTTCCACCTGCTGGTAATTCCGGGCCATACGGGTAGTCCTCTACCAGCACCACTGAATCCCTCGCACCACGACAAAACTTGTAGGCATGGCCAAGCATTCCACAAAAAAAACAATATGTATGCAGTCGCTCATACTTGAAATAAACCCAACAACTTGTTTTATCATGCTTAATAAACTTCATTCGGCGTTTCAAAGGTTTATCAACCGATAGTGAAACCCTAATTCGATAAAACGTTTTCCATGGCATATTCTTAAAACGGTCATCCCTTTTTACAAACACTCCTAGGTAGTTTCCAATCTGCTCTTGGATCAATTCAGACGTATATCATGTGGGCAACTCATGGATCTGTACCCACATATCAACCGTATCAAGCTTAACATTCACGGGCAGAACACCATCAGGAACTCGCTTACAAACAAAAGTGTTATTATCAAAAGACCATGGTCCATCATCAAGGACTTGTTGCACATCCGTTATGTGATGAAAAACGAAGAGAAACAAACTTGGTTGTATCTCAGAAGCCTGGACTCCACTTACCAGTTGCCAGAAAGACGTCATTACCTGACTCATAAACTCAAGTTTAACAAGCTTCCTTGTCAAGAAACGGCCTACTACCCCCCATGATTCCTCCTCCACGCCGGCGTCCTGTCCGTCACCTTCCTCCTCCACCCGAGGCATGAACGCCGCTTCCTCCTCCTCCAAAACAAGATCGGCCCACCTGGCCGTGAGCCCTGCCACCGCCGTAGTACTCGACATCGACGTTGCTTAACGAATCAAAGCTTCGCACCACCGCGCTACACGGTTGTAGAAGCCTAGCAAACTGTTGCAGCGATCCTCACTGTTTGATGCGGATGAAGAGTGCCGGCAACCACCAGAGAGTAACGTCGAAGGAGCGACCGGAACCCTAGAAACCCTAGGTACGTAACGGAAATAAATAAACAACCTAGTATGCCATTATCATTATAATTGTGGCATTTTTAAAAATATACGCAAATTAAATTGATTAATTTAATGATGTAAGGACTAAAACAAATGTTATTTTCTTTTAATAAAGTTAAGACTAATTAGGTGCTTTAATTTAAACCTTTTTTTTTTGTTTGGTTATGATTAAGCAGTTGTTATATTATAGACCACGGTGCATAATCGATTATGCACCGCGGCCCATATACGGCGCCGTTTCTTTAAGTAAAGAAACAGCCCGCCGTTAGAATTAACGGAGTCCGTTTGTTTAGTGTATTAAACACCAACTGACATTTCAGTATATCCAAACCGACACTGCAGTTATATCAAAATGATACTGTAGTTATAGTCAATGTTGCAAAAATCGCGCCTAGGCGCCATTGCGCCGCCGCGAGGAACGGCCTCCGCGGCCGGCCGGTTCGGCGGTTCGGCGGTTTTTTTTTTTTTTTTTTTTTTTTTTTTGAAAATGTCGGAAAAGTTTCGGAAGGCATAACTTTTGACTCGGTTGTACGATTTGGACAATTTTTTTTTTAAAATTGCGTATTTTAGTTTTCGGTTTGGTCCACTAATTTCTCAAAAAAATGCTTCTTTAGCTCTTAATTTTAGTTTTTTATGTATTTAGATGGTTTAAAAAATCTTTTGGACACTTTTACAACCACTTTCGTAAATAATTTCTAAGAAATAACTATAGAAACCTTATGTTTTATTACTAAATTTTAAAAATTTTAAAATTTAAATTTTATTTTTAATTAAAAAACAATAAAAATAAAATAAAAAATAAAATAAAAAATCGGCGCCTAGGCGCCCCCTTGGCGCCTAGCGTGTTTTGCAACATTGGTTATAGTGAAATGAAACTGCAGTGTATATAAACTGAAACTGAATAACTTTTCACATATTTGAGTGTATATTGTACAATGAAGCTGTAATTATATCAAAATGATCATGTAGTTGTGTTTTAATAAAATTATAGTGTATATAAAATAAAATTAAATAACATTTTCACATATTTGAATCTATAAATATCGAATGAAACTATAGTTATATCGAAATGAAACTGTAGTTGTGTTCAACTGAAACTGCAGTGTATACAAAATGACACTGAATAACAGAGTTACTTTTTGCAAAAGGGTGCGAAACGGCGGAAATAAACACTGTTAATTTTCATTAAAAAAAAAAAAAAAAGACGCGCGGTGCATAATCGATTATGCACCGCGGTGCATAATATAATTTGCCTATGATTAAGCGGAATATTTTAATATCCAATCCATTGGGTATTAGGTAATCATGGATAACCTCGAACATCGGACGATGTCCATTCCACCTAATAATCTTGATTAGAGAAAAAGAAACATTAGCATGCTGAATTAGGGCGGTAGGTTAATTACTAGGCTTCTAATTAAAGCCCTTCTCATGGACATTTCATAACAATTCCATCGCCAACAAAATTATGCATCCGTGATAAATGGTGATGTGATTGAGCAATCTCAAGATGTGCAAACCGAATTGAAACGCTAAAAAAAATATCTGTTGGGAAAGGTTGGATGGGTTAAGTTAAACATTATACCATTATTAAAATGTAGCGGTCGTGTAATTGATTGCTATGCAAATATATATAAGGAAATAAAGAAGCGTATTTGTTACTAATTATTCAGAATATGCGCTTTGGATGAAACCTGCCTTATGACCCAAGTTGGTAAAGGACCACAGAGTTAAATTAGCCTAAGTTTTCTATAGCTAACCGGCTCAAACCAAGAAAGTAAATAGATAGTTCAGCAGTTCTCATAAAAAGTCGAAAAGTTAACTATCCGACCAACTTAGATGGGCTACTTGTCTCCATATTCTTGGACTCCCTCTCTCTCTCTCTCTCTCTCTCTCTCTCTCTCTCTCTATATATATATATATATATATATATATATATATATATATATATATATATATAATTTGAGTTGATAATTAACTCTTTGTCGCATTTTACTTAACTTGTTTAATACTTCTTCTGTCTTATTATTCATTGGTTAAATCAACTCTTTCTTCTTTGTTTATTTTCTTTAGTATTCTTTACTTATTTGTAAATTTGATTTGTTGTGTTTAATAATATTTTTAGTGTAGTTTCTAAATATATAAATTTTGTATATTAATACTAAACTTAATATTATGAAAAATTAAATAAAAAATAACTTCAGTCAAGTCTCGTTAATCGAATCAGATGCATAAAATGGGACGGAGGAAGTATTATCAATCGTTATGCTGTGCATCCGTATGCACCATGCATGGTGCATACGGATGCCAAAACGACATCGTTTTATTAAAAAACGCGCGTCTCCCCTTTAAAAAAAATTCAGGTTCGATTCCCAGCAACAACATTATATTGTTTATTCATTCTGGAATTTTAGTTCATAGATTATGGAATTATAGTTCATTGATTATGGAATTATAGTTCATCGATTATGGAATTGTAGTTCATCGATTCTGAAATTTTAGTTTATAGATTATGGAATTTTAGTTCATTCATTCTGGAATTTTTAGTTCATAGATTAGATTATGGAATTATAGTTCATCGATTATGGAATTATAGTTTATCGATTATGGAATTTTAGTTCATATGTTGTTGCTGGGAATCGAACCTGATTTTTTTTTAAGAGGAAACGTGCGTTTTATTAAAACGACGTCGTTTTTGCATCCGTATGCACCATGCACAGCATAAATATAATGAAACCAACTTTTCTTAAAATTATTTATCTTCGCGGGTGGTTAAGGTCAAGTGATGGTCCCATATATTATATTTCTCTTCATCATTTTGAGCTGGAATAATTCAAACCTAACAAATAATTTGAGCTGAATTAAGAGGAATATACTTTAATTTAAGTCCTATCCTCACTAATCTCTTTATTTTAAGTCCCAATCACATTAAAGGACTCATTAATTATCCCCTAAACCTGATCAAGGGCCAGTCCGGTAGGCACGGCTTATCGTCGTACATTGCAAATTATATATACTCTCGATAGATACTCCAAATTAGCCGTCTGGGCGGGAAGCCAGATAAGGAAGTCAAACCGGTAGCTAACCAGGAGAGAAAGAGGAAACCGCTAGGAACCATCCGGTCATGATACCAGACGCCCCCCGAGTCCACTACGCACTTATTAGCAGCCAACCTTGTAACACGTACCCCTAATTTTTAAAGCATTTAAAGGCTTATAAAATAAA